GCTGCCTTGATGTCCTGAATCAATTCAAAACAATTACCTTTCATGGTCATTCTGTCTTTGGGGAAGAGCCAGAAATCATACAGTGCCAGATCTGGTGAACAAGGTGGATGAGGACACACCCTGATGTTTTTATTTGACAGAAATTGCCACAACAGAAGCGATGTGTGACACGAGCCTTTCTGTTGTGATAAAAAAAACTATGGTGAATGCTGCTGCTGAGTGCCATCCAACGGAAAGGCAGTGATCTTCAATACAGGAAGTGGCACATCGAACCCTAGTAACAGTGTGTGACAAGTTTCAACTTGTTCGGTGCAGTCAGTCAGGTGTGAGGTACAGTTGAGAGAAGGTGTGTTTTAAAGTGTGTCATAAATCATCCTCCGTCATGACAGTGCTTTGTATCACCCACCGGTTCTGGAATATGGCAATTTCTATCAAATAAAAACATTACAGTGTGTCCTCATCCATCTTACTCATGGGATCTGGCACCGTGTGACTTCTGACTCTTCCCCAAAGTCAAAATGATTCAGGGCATGGAGGCAGCCACAACAGCGCAACTAAAGATACTTATGAAAGAGGACTTCCAGAACTGCTTCAGAAAGTGGCAAGAACAATGGGATTAGTGTGTTTGAAGCTAGGGGGAGTATTTTGAGGTGGATTAATGGCAATGTGTCTTTTACTGTAATAAATTTTTTTTATTTAAACATTCACCATATTGTTTGATCACACCTCATAGGTGACACAGAGAAAAGAGGCCACTAAAATGGTGTTCACATTTGGCTACACATTAGAGTCACTGGAGAGCTTTTACAGTACCAATGCCCAGGTCACACCCCATACAAATAAGTCATAATATCTGGGGTAAGAGCCAGGTATCAATATTTTTAAAGACCCTCAGATGATTCCAGTTTGCAGAAAAGTTTGCAATTGATAGGCTTATGATTTGTCTAAGATCACACAACTGGGGACAGGAACCCACCACAGTTCAACTCAATTGTTTTTGGCCAAAACTGATCCTTGGCCTAAAAATGTAGGATGAATAGATACAGTACAGCAGATGCCATAATGACATGCCAGATAATTTCTATTTATCTCTCACAGCTGCCTTGCAAGGTGAATACATTAGGCCAAGTTCACCACTGGAGAATATGAGTTTGTTTTCATTTGACCTGTGAGTCCTTCTTAAATTTGGAAGGAGGACTTCCAGTGGCACTCACTCCAGTTGTTGAAATGCAATGGCATTCATTCAACAAGTGTTTAAGGAAGGCTTACTGTGTGCCAGGTATTGTCCTCGGCTACGTGGATAAATGGTGAACAAGGAACATAAGGCTTTGCCCTCCCAAAGCTTATAAGCTAATGAAGGACCCAAAGACATTATTCAGCAATTCCAACACTTTAGGGTTAAGGCTGTGATGGGAACTTATTTTATTCATTTGCACTGGGCCTTGTTTTTTCAAGAGGATTTGTGGCTGCAAAAAAAACACATAACGAAGTTGTTAGAATATAAATAAGAAACAGGAATCAAGACTATGGAAAATATAAATAAGTACAGAGTCAAGAACAGAAGAAGAAAAATTTATAGTTATGTGAGCCATAAGGATCCACTTGGGCTAAACCTCAATTTTGGCGTTAAGGGTCCTGGCAGCCATATTGAAAAGGGAACTATGGTTAGTTATAAAGTCCTTCTTGTCAGAAAAACAAAACATTACCAGTTTCTCGGGGAAGGAAAGCCTTTCCTAACACTTGGCTCTTGAGTAAATGTCTCATGTGGAGTTTCATACAGTCTCCAACAATATTCCTATAGCGACTGCAAAATTGGATTTTATAACAGAGTGCATTGCAGACCCTGCAATAAAGGTGAGGATATAAAATTAAAACGCAATTTAATAAATCTACTTCTGTCATGAGTGGTGGTCAGAAGTAAGTTGATTTCTGCCAGATCATATATGTCCAGATAACTCTATGGCTAGAAGCTGGAATACCTGGGGGAATGAATGCATTGGACAACCTTAAAACAGTTTTCATAAATTCTTTCTGCTGGGATTTTGATATGGTAGATGGTTATTTTTTTTCTATTTTATGGAGTAGGGTTGAAGCATAAGTATTCCATGTTGTAGATAATGGTTTATACCAGGGGTCAGCAAGCATTTTTTTAAAGGGCCAGATAGTAAATTATTTTAGCCCTTGTCGGCCAGATGGTCTCTGGCATAACTATTCAGCTCTGTAGTTGTAACACAAAGGAAGCCATAGACAATACATAAGTGAATGGGCATGGCTGTGTTCCAATAAAACTTGATTAATAAGAACAGGTGCCAGGTCAAATTTAGCCAACAAACAGTATTGCCAATCCCTGGTTTAACATTAAAAAAAAAAAGTATATTATTGCTATTCTTTTGTTGGAATTACAACACAGTTAGAAACTTGGCAAGTTTTGGTCAGTGGTGATTTTGGCCTCATAATTTAACTGATAGTAGGTGATGATACATGCTGGAGAGAACATGGCTCATGTTCAGATTGCAAATTCATTACCTTCATTGGAGGGACGTACGGGCCCTGAAGCTATCCAGTACAACTATTTACACATCAAAGTGACACTAAACAGACATGGAACTAGGGTTGTTGCAGCACAGTACTGGGCTGGGTCTAAAATTTTTGTTTCATGTGGAGATAGAGAATTGTGATGTTCCCACGTGGAGGTCTCACAAAGCAACGTGGTTCTCTAGTAAGATCGCCTGGTTGGTCCCTTAGAACGAGAAAAGATGTTGGATTATTTCCAGTAGGTTGATGTCTGCTATTTACTCCTTTATCATCTTTTCAAATGCAAAATCTATTCCAGGCTACCATATGTAGATTCTAACCAATCTTCTGTGAGTTCAGCCAAAGACATGGCTACACTTTGGAAAAAAATGATAGGATTTCACTGCAAAAAGGCTTAGTCAAGAGCAGATAATACTTGTGGATGGTTTGTTATGACCTGGATTTTTAAATACCTCCCACTGGCCATAAACTAATCTGGGGGCTTAATTGTGTAATGGGAGCTACCTTCAAGGGTCAAGTCTGGGAGGTCATCAGAAGAGGAGGTGGCCTCAAGTGATTTGGAATCTGCAACGACAGGTGGCTTAGGGCTTCAGCCTTAGATATTACTTTAAGCAATTTATGGATAATCCATGGTCCTGAGCAACGAATTATGAACTCAAGTGTGCCACATGTAGTGACAATGGGAAGGTAGGCTTAAACGGAAGAATTTAAGCTTCAAAAGCGTTTGTAAAAACATGGCTGTGAATACAATTGTGGAACCTTGGGGGCTTCATTGTCAGTTTGAACATAATTTGGTATGTCATTCTTTCTGGATAGCAGAGCACTGCTTCTTTTGCTCCTTTTGTAACTCCCTAACTATTCACTTCTCCAGCAGCATATGGCGGCTAAGAACATGGTTTCCATTCATTGTAATTGACTACCCCAGACTTGCAGAGAACAGGTTCTGTGTCTTTATCCAAGGGCTTTGTCCAATCCTGATCCCTTAGCATCACTCTAAAAGGTTTGCCCAGTAAATGAATCCTGGATAATATCACCCTGTTTGCAAAACTAGTATCATGAGAGGTGGGTTGCCGGGAAGGGAGATGGCTCCTTTTTGTTGCATAAATTGTGGCAGAGCTGGAAGGACTCCAACATAGACTAAGGCTTTTTGTTTTAGGATTGGAACAAAGTATGCCTGCAAAACTTCAAAAGCAGAAAACCACTCAGATAGAATTGTAGTGGCCCACCCCCCCCAGCAGATATAACCAGATGAAGGTGGGGATAAGAGATTGACAGGTAGATTTATATTTTTAAAATACGTAATGGCTTATTCTTAACAAGCAAGATTTGAGAACAGAGAAGTTGCGAGGGTAAATGTTCTTGGGAAAATGTCAGATATCAAAATCTCCTGAGACTGTAAGAAGTAATAAGTGACCAGACATTATTTTCTTCCCTCTTCTTTCCTCTGGCCCCTGCCAATATGCTTATTTATAACAATGAATTTATCTGTTGTCTTAAGAAAACAATCTTTTTTCCAATGAAAGTCACAATATGACCTTATAGTCTTATTTGTTCTTAAATATCCTTGCCACTAATAAGAAATGCATAGAAAATGGGGACCTTATGAACCCAAAACAAATTAATACTGGGCAGCACTGAGATGCAGCCACAACCCTTCCCCCACCCCGCCCTGCTTGCCAGTACTTACATGTAAGAATGAAGGAGAGAATGGAATTGTAATAGATAAGTATGATATTGGGGTGGGAAGGCAGTAGATGGGGGAGGAGTGTTGTTTCTGTGTGAGGGGTGAAAAGGATAACTATTGTATTGTTCTGTACACCTGAAACTAACAATAAAAAAAGAAAGAAAAACACAAAAGCAGGAAAAGTAAAAAAAAAAAAAAAAGAATGAAGGAGAGAGCCAAGAGGATGAAGAACCCAGCTGAGACTCTAGCCCAGAGCACGTCATCATAGGGTTCCCTTGCTACCAGAGGAATCTGGGAATGAGGAGAGAAACAAAGAGAAGATGAACTTACAGCAAAGCCTAACGTCATGTGGGGGTAACCTTAACACAGGTCATTTGTCTTACTGTAATCGAAAAATTGCCTACCTGCATTGCATCCAGGTTTATAAGAGACTAACTTTGGCCCCAGGGATATTAAATATCTTTCCTTCACCTCTTTCTGATTCCCACATCACAAGACCAAGGAAACTTGAGCATCTGTTCATAGTTTTGCTCCTAACCCTCCCCCAGCATTAACCACAAGGCAACAGAAATAGAATAAAGAGACAAATGGATAACCTTAAGTAGCCTCTCAGCTCACCTCACTGTCCTGCTCGGGTGAGTGTCCAGAGCCAATTATAAGTTGTCGTGACCCTGAGTATCTTTAGATCATAGAAATATGCTGATCTCCAAAATAGGTATTAATGATTTTTACCTGTGTATTCATTTGTTCACTGATCCATTCTGAATGTTCTTGGTCCCAGGGTCTGAGGATCATTTTCTCAGATGCTTCACGGCTCATCTTCCGGCTCAGTTCCTCCAGTGGCATGCGGGCCACCATCAGACTGTATGCAGAGAGCTTCGAGAGGGATCCCAGCGGCCATGACCAGGAGCCACAGGTACAAGAGCAGAGCTGTGCTCCCAGCACGGTGTATCTCATTGCTCCTGGCAAATGCAGAGAGCTGCAGTGTGCTGTTAGTGTGGGTAATTTTCCTTTCTGGAAAGTAAATTCCATATTGATACTTCCAGCTGAAGAACACACTTCGAGTGACTCCAAGGAAATTTAATTCATTCCTCTCAGTGTTTGAAACAGAAAAAGAAATGCTCTCTAGCATCTATAATGAGTTTAGACTAGCATTTCTCCAAATGGCTTGCCTTCTCTTGACTGCCCTGCAGTTTGTTAACTGGTGTGCTATCAAGAAGAGGCACCTTCTATAGCTAAGGAAATTTTGAGTTACAGTCAAATGGGTCAAACTACTTAGAGCCTTGACGATGCTCATGTAAATTATGAGTCCTCAGGTGTTTGGAAAACTCTGGGTTGGACCATGACCTTGAGGTGCCAATAGAGATGCTACTCTAGGCTCCCTCTCTCAGATGGCTGCAGAGCCCAGCATGAGTAGAGGAGCGATGGCTGTCCTGCATTTAAAAGTTAAGGGACGACACCAACAAGGCGCGGAGGTCAGCCTGTGCTTGGCAAAGCCCCTCGTGTTGTCAGCAGTAGAATTAATTGAGAACTCACTTAGAAAAATAATAAATAGCATAAGTATAAGCCTCCCCAATCCCATATTTGTTAAAGCTCCAGGCAACGTTAATTAATACCAGAAAGGACGCACTGTAATGTTGGGTGCTTTCACTGCACTGCTGGCTGCCTGCCCCCTTGGTCTTTACTTCAACTTGGGTTTTGAAGCAGGGTCTTTGATGAGATGATTCCTTGAGATGAAAACATTGGTTCCATCTGCAATTCTTTTGTGGAGAAGTAGAGAAGCAAAGAAAAACTCACTGCTTCTTATTTTAAGTTGCTCAGAATGTCCAGTTCTGATTTGCCGTTTCAGGTTGTTCCCTGAATGGAAAAAGATACCAGGGAGGGTTTTCCTTCTTTGTCAGTAGTGTTGTGTTTTGTTTTGTTTATTTTTTCATGGTATTTTTCTTTGGAGAGTCTCAAAGAGCATGGAGGAAATGGTGCCCTAGTTCCTTACACCGGATGCTATAACTATTGGGTTGTCGCAAAAGTCATGACGTGTTTTTTCTACGTTTTTCGTTGCAAAAATGCATCATGACTTTTCCGACAACCCAGTAGAAGGTCAATCTGGAGTAAAATCACCCCAGATGGGGCTGTAGCGGCCTGGGAGGCCAAGAGCTGTTGTTGGGGTTCCTGAGAGCATGGAGGGGCAGAGCACGAAGCCAGCATCAAATCCTTGGCCCTGCCCTCTCAGGATCACAGGTCATCCATGCAGAGATGGGCCTCACTCTGCCAACACAATTTGTTACTGAGTACATTTCACCCAAGGTAGTACCAAATCATGCAAGAATTGGAGGCTTACCCTATCTTACTGTATCAAGCTCTCTTCTACACCTCATGTTGGCAAGCAAGATTAAAGCAAGGACCTGAGAGTCCAGAGCTGCATACCAGGGTAAGGAATGCTATTCCTGGCCTCACCAACTCTGACTCACTCTGACTTGAGGCTATTTTTTTTCTCAACATTCTTTTCCCTATTTGCACATGGCCCATGGTTATACCTGCTTATTTTTATTTACCTTCCTCACTGACTGCAGGAGTGAAACCAATAAAACAATCCTATACAAGTATTTTCCTCTACCCATCTAGGTTCTTCTGGCTGGTCTAATAATGAAATTGACATGAGACAGATCAGCAGGAGAAAAACAAGCTAAAGTTTAATAACACATATACCTCCTATATACATGGGATAGATGCAGGAAAACTGGGTAACTCTCTGAAATGGTGGAAGCCAGCACCTTAAATAAAGTTGCCAGCTAAAGAGAAAAGAAGATATTGGGTGTGGGGAGTCAGTTAAGGGAGGTTACCAGGAAAAGCCCTGTAAAAAGGTGTAAGGTTGTTATACAGATTTAAGTTATTGTCTTCTCCATTGATAAGAGTTTCTAGAGTTAAGGTCATTCCCCGCCCCCCCCCCCCCCCCCAGTAAAGTAAGGGAGATAACCTACTAATGGAGATTTCCATTATACATGTAAATGTCTCTTACCAAAGGGTAACTCTTACTTAGCTTTTAGAGCTTTTCCCTTGTCTGCAGTGTCTTAAAAATAGTCAGCCTAAAATAATCCTTATGCCAAAGAGACATATTTTGGGGTGGCGAATTTGCTCTCCTACAAGTCACTCCCTGAGATGGTCCACAAAAGCCAAGTGGTACCACTTTATTTATTTATTTATTTATTAAGGCTTCCTTTGAAGCTGAGAACCTCCATAGGCCTGTGGCTGGAGGGTTGTGTGTTAAGTATTGCCGGGGCACAGGGAAGACTCCTCCAAAATATTCCACAGTGACATACCCATTACTTTGAATTAAAGCCACTTGACCAGCAGCCAGTGTAAGAAGGGCACCATGACCCTCCTATGTCTCCCTGAATGCAGGAAATGAATCTGCCCTGTGAAAGCTCACACACACACACNACTTGACCAGCAGCCAGTGTAAGAAGGGCACCATGACCCTCCTATGTCTCCCTGAATGCAGGAAATGAATCTGCCCTGTGAAAGCTCACACACACTCACACACACACACACACACACACACACACACACACACACACACACACACACACACACACACCCTGTGCTCCAGGAGGGTGGAGAGAGACATCCTTACTGCTAGAGTTAAGGAATCTAGAGCTCAGGAGCCTGTATAAACAAACCTTGTTATTTTCTTTTTGACTAATCTGTTTCAGGCCCTCTTTTCGTTTAGATTCCATACAAATATGCATCCAAACCTAAGTTTCTTGGTCCTGTCAAATCCTCATGAATTTTGGGGTTTTTTCCTCTAAAAAAAATGTAAAAAGCTGGGCTGGTTCATTATTTCTCTGAATATCTTTTATGATCTCCTGTGTGCATGTGTTAAATTGGTTTTTCTCCTGTTAATCTGGTGTTTTTCAGTTTTATTGTAAGTCCAGCCATAAGAACTCATGAAAGGTAGAAGGGAGAATTTCCCCCTCCCCTACAGTGTCTATATACTTAAATCCATGGCTGAAGTCGTTATCACTGTGTTTTTTCCATCCTATTGGTTTAAAGCGTTTGCCATTTTGAGTGGTTGGGGAATCCTTTCACTGACATTGCTCTTCTTATTGCTGATAGTCCCTCCATTTCTAATCCTAAACAGACCTGGCTAGGGGGATGGGCCTCACAGTATTTAGCACATGACCTAGCTAAAAGCTTTGTATTAAAATAGAACTCCTTATCAAAATTCTGTACATCGCTGACTCACCAACTTAAGCCCTATTGTATAGTACATTTAAGTTAAGACAAAATTTAGAGTGAGATTGTAAAACCTTACATCGAAACCCCTAAGGAAAGAGAGAAGCTTCTCTCAGCAGGCCCACCTGTCTCTATTACTGATGAACTATATACACCTAGACGTTGAAGTCAGACCACGGGGGCTGCCTGACAGCACTGCTTTCCAGGACCGCCGGTTTCTGCATCAGAGGAACTCTGTAAGGAGAAGCCTTTGGTGAACTGCTAACACAGATCAAAGATAAGGCATTCTCCGTGAGGTGCTGGTGCTATCACTGGTCCAGGGCCTGGCAGGAAAACGCCAGCTTGTGTTGTTTCTCAGCCACAGAGAAAGCCTCTTCTGCCGTTTTGGCTTGTTCTTTTTTTAAAATTATAGTTGACACTCAATATTATTTTGTATTAGTTTCAGATGTACAGCGTAGTGGTTAGACATTTATATAGGAAGTGATCCCCCTGATAAGTCTAGTACCCACCTGACACTGTACATCATTATTACAATATTATGGAATATATTCTTCATACCGTATTTTACATCTGTGTGACTATTTTGTAACTACCCATTTGTACTTCTTAATCCCTTCACCTTTTTCACCCAGCCCCCAACCCCCCTCCCATCTGGCATCCATCAGTTTGTCCTCTATATCTATGTGTCAGGTTCTGTTCGTTTGTTTCTTTTGATCTATTGTTCGGATTGGCAGCCCAGAACCCAGAGAACAAATATCCACTCTCCCCACACCCCCACACTCCATTAAAGTGCCTCTGTAATCTGCAGAGATTCCACTGATAATCTCATTCTAATTCAACAGGTATTTTTTAATGCTTTACCCACCCGAACTCAATAGCCGTCTACATTGAGGTTATTTAGCAAGAGGACTACAGTGCTCCCTTCAGCTGGCTTTATCAGCATCTGGCTGTTTTACTTTGCAACTGGCCATTTCTTTTCCAGACATTTTAAACACATGCGAATGGAACTTGTTTTAAACATTTATACTGTGGTTGCCAGGTGGAAGTCTTCATAACCATCCTACTGACTGATGCAACTGCGAAAACTTGATACAATCCATAGCACTAAGTCTCTATTCCCACTTACAGATTTTTCCATTTGGGTTCATGTGTATAATAGTGGTTCTACTATTTGTTTTAAGTTAATGTGAAATAATTTCTTATCTACATTCAAAAATATTTTTTTTGGAAATCCCTTATGCACTTAGGAATTGGTGGCGAAGGGAGGAAGGAGATGGGGAGGGCCCTGATAACATGAGAAGGTGCTTGCTTTGCCCTCTCTGTGTCCTTGGTAAATCAGGAAGGAAAGCTTCCAAGTCCTATTCCTGGAAGATTGTGTAGTTTTAAAATACAAGATTACTTTAATTTTATTGGCAATCAGTAGGCCTTCTGCGAGCCCTCAAACCAGCTGGTAACAATTTGGAAAACAGGATGAGCCAGAAGGATTTAAATTCACAGGTAACCAGAAACAGTCCAAGTGTTCCCATTTTCTCTCTCACCAAGTGTATTAGCAGGGCTGCTAAAAAAACATTTTATTCACCTTATTTCCTTGTCCCTTTAAGCCTGTGGGTGGAGTAGCTAATGAACAATAAAAGATTCTAAAGGAAAAGGAAGGAGAAGTTTTGTTAAGGGCTGAGGAAAATC